GATTGCGCTAAGTAACCTTCGGCTCACCATCTTTGTGACTCCGATGAATCCGTGCTGAACATTCGCCTGTCATGGGACAGATATTATCACAAGGAAAAACAATCATTTACTAAAAATGCACCAAATATACTAAGACAAAAAGAGTAGTCGTCAGCGTTTATATTCATTTATTGTACCTAACTTTGCTATCTTAATAGACATCTCATTATTTGATCGAAGCTATGAAGACAAAGATAGTGTGGCCATTTGCGTGGGCACAGTCTCCTTTCGTTGTATAGAAGTTGTTTGACATTGTTTTCGCAACTTGGTCATATTGGTAAGAAGACATAGAGGAACGCAACTAGTCCGGAGTTCATTGTAGGAATGATAATTTCCAAAGTCGGATCGTGGGCGTGGTACATTCACAGGCGTTTCGCCGGCATCGTCAGTGAGTCTTGCCACTCTTAGCACCATACTAAAACTCGCCAAAGAGATAAGTGAAGTCGATCTTTTGATCAAATGTGAGTTAAACACTTGTGGTATCTCTCGTTCTGTCCTGGGCTATCCACCTATAATATATCATCGTATCATGCCTGCACTAGCACAATTCTTTCCTTGCTTATTTAAATGTAGTAAGGTGTGCCCTTTTAACGGCTTTCAATAGAACCCTCCACACTCCACACTGGCGTTCTCACCCTCTTTCACCCTTGTGCTAGGAATGTTGATCAGAGCCTGGAATATTGTTATGCCGTCCTCCTTCCCTAGGTCTTATAAGAAGCTCCCTCTTGGCCTGTAGAATCCATCTGCTATCTTCCTTGTTAAAGTATTTCACTTAAGCGCTACCACCCCATCTGTGCTACTCGAGGCGTTATTACTCCTCCCATCCGTCTGGGTGGCAAATTCGAGTAAGTCTCATGGTTAAGCCTTTGCTACATGAACCACGTCTTTGGTAAAAAATGCCTACGATCAGCCAACTAGCTCTAGTCTCCGCCGCCTCTATCCTGTTCCTATCCGTAATACCAAGTATATGACTTGCTATGCCCTAGTCTCTTGTGTGCCAACCCACAAACGTTTTGGTTCAACATTAATTCTAATCAAAGCAAGCAGTACCATGACTAGGGTATAGGAAGTCATATACTTGGTATTACGGATAGAAACAGAATAGGCGCCGCGGAGACTGAAGCTAGTTAGCTGAGACTTTTCCCATGTAGCAAAGGCTTAACCATGAGACTTACTCAGAGGCTTTAGCCTCGAATTTGTCGCCCAGACGCATGGGAGGAGTAATAACGCCTCGAGTAGCACAGATGGAGTGGTAGAGCTAAAGTGAAATACTTTAACAAGGAAGATAGCAGACGGATTCTACAGGCCAAGAGGGAGCTTCTTATATGACCTCGGGAAGGAGGACGGCGTAACAATATGCTAGGCTCTGATCAACATTCCCAGCACAAGGGTGAATGGATGGTGAGAATGCCAGCGTGGAGTGTAGAGGGTTCTCATGAATGCCGCTCAAACGAGCACACCACACCATATCTAAATAAGCACGTAAAAACTTGTGACATTGAAGGCGTGATACGAGGATATAGGACATGTGAATAGGCCAGGGCAGAAGGAGAGATATCTCAATTGTTTAGCACACGTTTGGTCAAAGGATCGGCTTCACTTGTCTCTTTGACGAGTGCTAAGAATGGCAAAAGTCACTGACGATGCGGACTACGATGCCGGCGAATCGTCTGGGAATGTTCGACGTCCACGGTCCTACTTTTAAAATTATCATGCATACAATGGACTCCGTATTAAGTGATTTCCTCTTACTCTTCCTACCAATATGACCATGTTGCGAAAACAAGGTTAAACAACTTTTAAATCCCATTGTTAGGTTGGGTATTTTATGCTTGTTTTGAAAACTTGCATTTCATATGAAAATGCATAATGCAGATATTCGGAGGTCAATCTTGCCGGAAGACCCCTTCTGATTTACCTTTTCCTCTAGACGTTTGATTTTAATACGGCATTCGGGCTGGGCTTTCGTTTCTCATATGACGAACATAGTCAGAGCTGGGACTCATTCATTTGTTAGCATCTTTACGTAAAACCGTTCATAATTCAGAGTAATTATAAAAAAGCTTAACGTCAGCCCAACGCCATCGAAGACTATTGGCCCAAAGAAAAAAATAAAAACCTGATTGCGTTAGTCTGTAAGTAATCCTGGTTACATTAAAAAATGTAAGTCTATACGCGTTAAAATGAGGTTACGAACTCATTAGTCCGAACCTTCTTGTTTGGGTTATTAAGGTTTAATGATCCAAGGAGAAGCATGTCTGGGTTTGCATAGTATCGAACGTTTGTTTTTTATTAA